CTTGCCAGGATTCAGTGTTGAGACTGTTATCTTGCCAGGATTCAGTGTTGAGACTGTTATCTGGTGAGGAGTCAGTGTTGAGACTCTTTATCTAGCCAGGATTCAGTGTCGAGAATGTTATCTAGCCAGGAGTCAGTGTTGAAACTGTTATCTAGCGAGGATTCAGTGTTGAAATTGTCTGACCAGGATTAAGTGTTGAAATTGTTGTCTGACCAGGATTTGGTGTTAAAACTGGTATCTGACTCAGAATTTAGTGTTGTAACTGTTATCTGAATAGGATTTAGTGTTGTGACTGTTATCTGAATAGGATTTGGTGTTGTGACTGTTATCTGAATAGGATTTGATGTTAAGACTGTTATCTGACTAGAATTCAGTGTTGATACTGTTATCTGACCAGGATTTAGTGTTGTGACTCAATGTGGCTAGAGTTTTTCAGGTAGAATAGCCATGTTTTGTTACTGAAAGGAGGCTGTACAGCCTGGGTAACTGAAGAGAGCTCAAAGATGTATTGAGCCATGTAGAGTGCTATAGTGTGGACATTTATGAACATTGTGAACTATATAAAACATTTTTAATCTTTGACCTTTCCCATCATCCCCAGCTGATCCCATGTACTTGCCAGTTTTCCGGTTTTTGATGGCCAAACCAGAAGTGGATTTATCAAGTGTTCCAGAATTTTACAAACTCTTCTTCAGTGCTGGAGTTCAGGTAGGGAAAGGGTGGGGGGGGGGGGGGGGTGTTCAGATTTTATGTGTGTGTGGTAGTGTCAGTTGTGTATGTGATGACAGTGTGTGTGGTAATTTTTTTTTTTTTTTTTAAATCGAACACCGGCTGTGAATTCCAGTGGAAGGTTCCGGTTAATCGTCCGCTTGGACTTTTGGCCTTCACCTGGACCTGATTTTTGCGTGTACAACCGTTTTTAATTTTCCTGCCTCTTGGGCAGCTGTACGCCGACTTCGAAGGAAGACGTCAGGCCTATTTCTAGGGTGACTGTGGCCATTGTTTTGTGTGGGTCGAGACTGCCTGATTTGTGTGGTGTCCGCCTTGTCTCCTTCGCCGCAGGTATTGCCCCCGGAGTACCCCTTTGGGGCAACTCCCTGTGGAACAGTTGGCCCTCAAGGGAAGGCAGGGGCAGATCATGAGCATTCCCCGCCATCCAAGGAGGCTTCCATGCATGCAGAGCCGGCACATGGCGCTCTGGTTCTGGGCTCACTCAAGGAATCGTCACGTCCTGCACATGCCTGCTTAACCTCACAACCGTATCAGGCCTCCCGCTCGACAGGGGCTGCGCCCTCTGGAAGTCAGCGGGGAGCAGCCCGTTGGTTTTGGACTTTTGTGACCACACAGATAGGTACATTAGCCCGGCAGAATTTCACATCCTGAATCAGGCATATCGTTATCAGTTTTGTCCCAACACTCGGGCGAGTGGGGTCTTTGGGTATGGACATTCGGCCTTTTGCATTTCAGTGCAAATTTTGATGGTCAGATTTTGATCCGTATGATCTAGTTTTGTCGGACATTTAAGCTTAGCCATCCGATGGATGGTTGCTGTTGTGGTGTACCACAGCGCGGTGACGATGACACTGAGGGTTAACCGAGGATGTACGTGACTGGCCAGCCTATGGATGGTTGCTGTTGTGGTGCACCTCAGCTCAGTGACGACGACACTGAGGGCCAACCGAGGATGCACAAGGATGGCCAGCCCATGTATGGTTTCTGTTGTGTTGCATCTCAGCGCGGTGACGACGACACTGAGAATTAACCGAGGATGAGCATTGAGCAATGTTCTCTTTACTCAGCAGTCTTTTAACCAAGGGTTGTGATTTTAGCTGTACTTTTGTCGAACCTACTCATGTTCCTAATGAGTTTTGATAACATTTTTCACCCAAGCGTTTGGGGGCGGGCTGGTGAGAGCCACAAGGACACATCACCTCTGGGGGCCGCCAAACTCCGAGATCCCCTGACAGCTCTGTTAATGCTCATTTGAGACATTATCCGTGGCGCACGACGAGGACGTGCTGTAGGGGTCTTGCGTGAGGTTCCGTACAACCAGGATAGTAAAGGACTGGCGCCCGAGTGACGTACGGAGTATCTCCTTATACACATCATGTTGGACTTAACTTCCCCTCACGCCTGTGACATAAATCACCGCGCCACTGTGTGGTAATGTCTAATGAGATGTTAAGTTAGCATTTGATGGAATTAAATTAAGTGTGTAAATTCTGTGTCAGGCTAGATTAGTAAATGTGAATCCAGTGTGTCATGCTAAAATAGAATGTGTAGTTTGTGTGAATCCAGTGCTAGATTAGCATGTGTAGTTTGTGTGAATCCAGTGCTGGATTAGCATAAGTAATTTGTGGGAATCCAGTGCTAGGTTAGCATGTGTAGTTAGCGTGAAACCAGTGCTAGGTTAGCATGTGTAGTTAGCGTGAAACCAGTGCTAGATTAGCATGTGTAGTTAGCGTGAATCCAGTGCTAGATTAGCATGTGTAGTTAGCGTGAAACCAGTGCTAGGTTAGCATGTGTAGTTAGCGTGAAACCAGTGCTAGGTTAGCATGTGTAGTTAGCGTGAAACCAGTGCTAGATTAGCATGTGTAGTTAGCGTGAAACCAGTGCTAGATTAGCATGTGTAGTTAGCGTGAAACCAGTGCTAGATTAGCATGTGTAGTTAGCGTGAATCCAGTGCTAGATTAGCATGTGTAGTTAGCGTGAAACCAGTGCTAGATTAGCATGTGTAGTTAGCGTGAAACCAGTGCTAGATTAGCATGTGTAGTTAGCGTGAAACCAGTGCTAGATTAGCATGTGTAGTTAGCGTGAAACCAGTGCTAGATTAGCATGTGTAGTTTGTGTGAATCCAGTGCTAGATTAGCATGTGTAGTTAGCGTGAAACCAGTGCTAGGTTAGCATGTGTAGTTAGCGTGAAACCAGTGCTAGATTAGCATGTGTAGTTAGCGTGAAACCAGTGCTAGATTAGCATGTGTAGTTTGTGTGAATCCAGTGCTAGATTAGCATGTGTAGTTAGCGTGAAACCAGTGCTAGATTAGCATGTGTAGTTAGCGTGAAACCAGTGCTAGATTAGCATGTGTAGTTTGTGTGAATCCAGTGCTAGATTAGCATGTGTAGTTAGCGTGAAACCAGTGCTAGGTTAGCATGTGTAGTTAGCGTGAAACCAGTGCTAGATTAGCATGTGTAGTTAGCGTGAAACCAGTGCTAGATTAGCATGTGTAGTTAGCGTGAAACCAGTGCTAGGTTAGCATGTGTAGTTAGCGTGAAACCAGTGCTAGATTAGCATGTGTAGTTAGCGTGAAACCAGTGCTAGATTAGCATGTGTAGTTAGCGTGAAACCAGTGCTAGATTAGCATGTGTAATTGTGTGTAAATCTATTGTGTCATGCTTAATTAGCATGTGTTTGTAAACCCAGTGTGTCATTTTAAATAAGCATTTACCGTGCTAGAGTAAGCATGTAATCCTGGGTGGTGCATAAACCCAACACATGTTGTCTGTTTCCAGTACAAGCAAGAGAGGAACTGGATGCTGGCCCTGCTCAGTGATGGCATCAGAGAAACCTCTGACTACTGGCTGTACCAGAAGAAATTTATCTTCAAGATTATCTTCACCTTCTACGACTCAGCCCTCAGTGATGCTCACTCTCAGGTCTGTTTTGTGGTTCTTTTGCTGAAATACGTTCAGTGTCTCCTCTAGTCAAGATGTGTTTACTGTTTTTAATCTGGCAAGTATTTGCTTCTGACAATAGTTCACCATGGGATTTTCCTCTATATGTAGACTGAAAGAATATAGTTTTGTCGCCCTGCTACTGAGTTGAGTGCATGGCTTGACACTGTAAGCTTTGGATGTTTTTCGACTGATCTCTATGGTTTGCGTTGTCAACTGTAGTTTCAGGAAATGACGAGTAGCCTGTTGCCACAGAACTGGTGGTACCTTATGTGACTAATCATCTGTGCAACTACTGTTCAGTTGTAACTGCTGCTTCCATCGATGAAGAACTGCATTTATGATGTTGGGCTTTTTGTGTTGGCACTTCTGATAGCTGCCATATGATTAAACGCACATATATGCTTTGGATGTTTTTCGACTGATCTCTATGGTTTGCGTTGTCAACTGTAGTTTCAGGAAATGACGAGTAGCCTGTTGCCACAGAACTGGTGGTACCTTATGTGACTAATCATCTGTGCAACTACTGTTCAGTTGTAACTGCTGCTTCCATCGATGAAGAACTGCATTTATGATGTTGGGCTTTTTGTGTTGGCACTTCTGATAGCTGCCATATGATTAAACGCACATATATGCTATTGAATATACTGAGTCAATTTTCCACAAGGGACAGTGGTGGATATTCTGTGTGTCTGACTGTGTGTGTGTGTGTGTTTGTTTGGGCCCAGGAACAGAGTAACTATGGAGTGACCCATTTGCTATGAAGTTGGACCTGCGATTACTTGATTACCTGTTTGTGTTCTACTTTGTGGTTTTCTTACAGAAGTACATTTATAGTAATTGTGTGGAAGTTCCTGCCAGCAGCTGACGGTAGCTAGGAAGAATTGTGTTGAGGCTCAGGTAAATACCTGATAGTAGCTAGAATTTGTGCGTAGGCTGTCTGGCTTCATATTATAAGAACATGTAGATTTGTCTGTGTCTCCAGGAGCTGGTTCTGCGGACAGTGAAGAATGCCTGCAAGGAAAAGTCTGTGGCTGTTGATCTGGTGCAGAACCATGGTCTGATGTCCTGGCTGGTGGCTGCAGTGAATTGCCTGTAAGTGCGAGATGAATGGTTCAATGCTTTATGTATGTGTGTATGGAGTCAGTAATTAACTTGTTTAGAATGTATGTGTGTACTTGCTTCCATTTCCCCCTTCTCTCTCTCTCTCGCTCTCTCTTTCTCTTACACTCGTATGTATGTATGTATGTATATATAAGTATATATGTAAGTGAGTGAGAGAGTGTATGTGCACATGAATTTACCATGGTTTTAACCTCTTTTTACAGTGACAGAAGGCCAGAGCATGCATGTCACTTATGTGACATCTGCTGGTCACTTTGGTCGAGCCTGACCACCACCAGATATGCTTCGCAATCTGACCTGCCTGCCAGGAGATCCCAGCAAGGAATCCCTCGCCCAACAGCGGTGGAGATGGGACTGCTGGTCAAGACTTTGATTCCACACCTCAGGTATGTTGATCTCTGTTTCACTTGTTGTTGCTCTGACTCACTGGGTTCCAGTGGCCATTCATTTTATTTGTCAAACTGGTCAGTGGTGTGATCTCATCTATAAAATTATGTTTTCCTGGTTGGCTCTGTTAATAACAATGGGTTTTACTGTTCAGATGCCTGACGCATTTAACGTATGTGCGTATTCTATTGGCCCTGCAGACTGCAGCCTCTTTTAATTTTTTTTTTCAAATGCAAGGGACAGAGTGATTTTCATTAGCATAGGAACAAAGCAACCCATTCGCTGTGTAGTTGGAACTGCCAGTTAGCATGATTTAGTGATAGGACTGCCAGTGAGAGCATGATTTAGTGATAGGACTTCCAGTTAGCATGATTTAGTGATAGGACTGCTAATGAGCATTTTTTAGTGATAGGACTGTCAGTAAAAGCATGTTTTATTGATAGGACTGTCAGTGAGCATGTTTTATTAATAGGACTGTCAGTGAGAGCATGTTTTATTGATAGGACTGTCAGTGAGAGGATGTTTTATTGATAGGACTGTTAGTGAGCATGTTTTATTGATAGGACTGTCAGTGAGAGCATGTTTTATTGATAGGACTGTCAGTGAGGGCATGTTTTATTGATAGGACTGTCAGTGAGAGCATGTTTTATTGATAGGACTGTCAGTGAGAGCATGTTTTATTGATAGGACTGTCAGTGAGCATGTTTTATTGATAGGACTGTTATTGAGCATGTTTTATTGATTGGACTGTTATTGAGCATGTTTTATTGATAGGACTGTCAATGAGAGCATGTTTTATTGATAGGACTGTTATTGAGCATGTTTTATTGATTGGACTGTTATTGAGTATGTTTTATTGATAGGACTGTCAATGAGAGCATGTTTTATTGATAGGACTGTTATTGAGCATGTTTTATTGATTGGACTGTTATTGAGCATGTTTTATTGATAGGACTGTCAGTGAGAGCATGTTTTATTGATAGAACTGTCAGTGAGCATGTTTTATTGATAGGACTGTCAGTGAGAGCATGTTTTATTGATAGGACTGTCAGTGAGCATGTTTTATTGATAGGACTGTCAGTGAGAGCATGTTTTATTGATAGGACTGTCAGTGAGCATGTTTTATTGATAGGACTGTCAGTAAGAGAATGTTTTATTGATAGGACTGTCAGTGAGAGCATGTTTTATTGATAGGACTGTCAGTGAGAGCATGTTTTATTGATAGGACTGTCAGTGAGCATGTTTTATTGATAGGACTGTTATTGAGCATGTTTTATTGATTGGACTGTTATTGAGCATGTTTTATTGATAGGACTGTCAATGAGAGCATGTTTTATTGATAGGACTGTTATTGAGCATGTTTTATTGATTGGACTGTTATTGAGTATGTTTTATTGATAGGACTGTCAATGAGAGCATGTTTTATTGATAGGACTGTTATTGAGCATGTTTTATTGATTAGACTGTTATTGAGCATGTTTTATTGATAGGACTGTCAGTGAGAGCATGTTTTATTGATAGGACTGTCAGTGAGCATGTTTTATTGATAGGACTGTCAGTGAGAGCATGTTTTATTGATAGGACTGTCAGTGAGCATGTTTTATTGATAGGACTGTCAGTGAGAGCATGTTTTATTGATAGGACTGTCAGTGAGCATGTTTTATTGATAGGACTGTCAGTAAGAGAATGTTTTATTGATAGGACTGTCAGTGAGAGCATGTTTTATTGATAGGACTGTCAGTGAGAGCATGTTTTATTGATAGGACTGTCAGTGAGCATGTTTTATTGATAGGACTGTCAATGAGAGCATGTTTTATTGATAGGACTGTCAGTGAGAGCATGTTTTATTGATAGGACTGTCAGTGAGCATGTTTTATTGATAGGACTGTCAGTGAGCATGTTTTATTGATAGGACTGTCAGTGAGAGCATGTTTTATTGATAGGACTGTCAGTGAGCATGTTTTATTGATAGGACTGTCAGTAAGAAAATGTTTTATTGATAGGACTGTCAGTAAGAGCATGTTTTATTGATAGGACTGTCAGTGAGCATGTTTTATTGATAGGACTGTCAGTGAGAGCATGTTTTATTGATAGGACTGTCAGTGAGAGCATGTTTTATTGATAGGACTGTCAGTGAGCATGTTTTATTGATAGGACTGTCAGTAAGAGAATGTTTTATTGATAGGACTGTCAGTGAGAGCATGTTTTATTGATAGGACTGTCAGTGAGAGCATGTTTTTTTGATAGGACTGTCAGTGAGAGCATGTTTTATTGAAAGGACTGTCAGTGAGAGCATGTTTTATTGATAGGACTGTCAGTGAGCATGTTTTATTGATAGGACTGTCAGTGAGCATGTTTTATTGATAGGACTGTCAGTGAGAGCATGTTTTATTGATAGGACTGTCAGTGAGAGCATGTTTTATTGATAGGACTGTCAGTGAGCATGTTTTATTGATAGGACTGTCAGTAAGCATGTTTTATTGATAGGACTGTTATTGAGCATGTTTTATTGATAGGACTGTTAGTGAGAGCATGTTTTATTGATTGGACTGTTATTGAGCATGTTTTATTGATTGGACTGTCAGTGAACATGTTTTAGTGGTAGGACTGCCAATGAGCATGTTTTAGTAATCGGACTGTCAGTAAGAGCATGTTTTATTGATAGGACTGTCAGTAAGAGCATGTTTTAATGTTAGGACTGCCAATGAGCATGTTTTAGGACAAGGACTGTCAGTGAGAGCATGTTTTAGTGATAGGACTGCTAATGAGCATGTTTCAGTGATAGACCAGAAAGTGAAGGTGAGAGAATCAACATCATTGCACCTGGTTTTATCCCATATGGCTCAGTCTTTATACATAGAACAGCTAGCTGAGAGTTTCACACAGAGCACAACCTCTGTAGCTCTGGCGACGATCCTAAGGGATCTCCGTAAAAATTGCATTTGTGAACTTAAAGGCGCCGACGTGAAACAAACTCACAATCTCCAGAGTGTGTGTGAAATGGCTTGACCACTTTGCCACAGAGACCCCCAAGTTATAGATGAGAGCTTGTTTTAGTAATATGACTGTCAATGATAGCTTGTTTTAGTGATAGGTATGTCAATGATAGCTTGTTTTAGTGATAGGTATGTCAATGAGAGCATGTTTTAGCAATATGTTTCTCAGTTTAAACATGTTTATATATTGAGACTGAGTTTCCAGTTGCTTGCTCAATCGTTAAAAGGTAGTTTTAGTTTTAAACTTCAAGCGTTATGGCTCTTCTATGCCACAAGGGAAATCACTCTTATGATGCCTTTAATGTTTGAAGGCGAAGTAAGTTGTAACTTGATGATAATGAAATATATCAATTACATTGTGTTGTTATTAACCTTTATTCATGTTTCATCCTGAAAGCAAGACCAACAGAGATGGCCTGGTCAAGATTGTGCAAGTTCTTTACGGGATGTCGCAGCATGACACCTTCAACACCCCCAGTGAGCACTCTACCACAGGTACAACCGATCACGCAACAGACTCACACCCCCAGGACCTTCTGAACCTCTCCCCTCTAGAGGCATGTCAGCTGCTCTACCATGTCGCCACGGCCATACAACAGCCAGCTATGGCAGATGCTGCAGCTTCCATCCTGAAAACCAAAGGCATCAGCTGTGAGTGGAAAGCTAAACCCACAGTGCACAGGAAGTCTTCATCAAACATGAAACGTTCAGGCATGAAGAGTGATGATATGGATGTGCCAGATGGGGATGAGGAGGGAGCTGAGCCTCCAGCACCATCCAGCAGATCTTTGAGGGAAGCTGAGGTCAAAGATGCTAATGCTGGAACAGATGTATCCACAGGTGAACTGACCATTAGGCAGTGCAGATCTCTGTTTTGCATGGTGTATGACATAATTTCCGCAACAAAAACTATAGAATTTATCTGAGAGCTATGTCTGTAAATGTTCCCACTTTATGGATGTAGCAGCCTTTCATGCTGGTGCACGCTTCACAAAAACTGTGGAGTTTATTTAAGAACAGCGTCTGTGAGTGTTACTCCCAGCCACTTGTTATGGCCTCGATCAGGCTCTTCCACATCTAGCTGTGTGATGTCTAATCTGGAGCACATTTTATCTAGGTGAGATGTCCTGTTCTCTTTAAAATTGGTTTTGATTGAGGGTCGACGCTGACCTGTTTGAGAAGCCAGCACTGTTTTCCAGCATCTGTAACATTAAAAGTGGATGGAGTCACCGGATATTTCCTGAAACTTAAAAGCCTGCAGCTTTTTCTGACTGCAAGTTTACACTCCAGGCCACATCAATAATGCTCAGTCTCCAAAGCAGACAATGCTGACTTGTTGTTTAAATTGCATGATTGAATATAAATATCTGTTGGCTAACCAGCATCGACAGGCAGATATTAAAAATTATGTTTTTGTAGTGTTAGTTTGTTAATTAATGTCAGTTTGTAGTAGATGTTGTATAGGTTTTGTCTGAAGCTTGTATGTGTGTCTGGTAAGCTCTATGGAAGTTTGGTCACTTGTGTGTGAATGCATCTTCGGTTTGTGTTGTTTGACATTTGCAGTGTTCTAGTGAATGTCATAAATTTGTCAGACTGGAGAGTACTAACCCTCTCTGAAAGATGCAAGCACCCTACAATGTTCCTGTGATGTGAATGTTGACAGTATATCAGACAGTAGAGTACTAATCCTCTCTGTTAGATGTGAGCACCCTGCAGTGTTCCTGTGATGTGATTGTTGACAGTATATCAGACAGTAGAGTACTAATCCTCTCTGTTAGATGTGAGCACCCTGCAGTGTTCCTGTGATGTGATTGTTGACAGTATATCAGACAGTAGAGTACTAATCCTCTCTGTTAGATGTGAGCACCCTGCAGTGTTCCTGTGATGTGAATGTTGACAGTATATCAGACAGTAGAGTACTAATCCTCTCTGTTAGATGTGAGCACCCTTCAGTGTTCCTGTGATGTTATTGCTGACAGTATATCAGACAGTAGAGTACTAATCCTCTCTGTTGGATGTGAGCACCCTACAGTGTTCCTGTGATGTGATTGCTGACAGTATATCAGACAGTAGAGTACTAATCCTCTCTGTTAGATGTCTCTGATAGATGCAACCACCTTACAGGGTTCCTTTGACATGAATGTTGACAGTATATCAGACAGTAGTGTGCTAACCCTCTCTGATAGATGCAAGCACCTTACAAGGTTCCTTTTATGTGAATGTCGTGCGTGTGTGTGTCAGTTTGGAGTACCAAAATGTCCTGATGTTATCTCCCTTTGATTGTGCTCGAGTGGCTGTTATGCCCAAGTAAACCAAAGAATGAGCTACGGAAGGGGAAAAAAAGGGGGGGGGGGTGGCAGGTAGATAAAGGGAAACACAGCAGTACTGCCTCACAGGTGAATGATTCCACTGATTGAATAGCGAGGTGATGGTTATCGGGAATATGTCAGTTAAGTAATCGCGTCTGTGCTTGCAGTAGTGATTTATATAATATGCTGAAGGCTCTGCAGCGGTGGTCGTTTGTGATATTGTGAGGCTGACTGGCTCTGCTTCTCATCTGGTTAGATGCCTTTTTATGTCTGACAGACTTGCGTATAGTCAAGCATCAAGGGCAGAAATACTACCTAGCAGTCACCGATCAGGGACAGAAACACTAGGACATGCTTGAAATTTGGTACCTGAGCCTTAAGCTTTTCCCTTTGTTCATTTATGTGTGGGTTCCAGTGCCCTATTGTGAGAAAAGCAAGAATAGACCCACTGCCTCCCCAACAGGCATGTCGTCAGAGTGCATCTGCTGAGACGCAAGGAACCAACAGTCTGCACACAAGACTCAGATTCTGGAACAAGTCAAAAGTTTAGAAATGGATAAACAACCAGAACTTCCGCGCAGATCCTTCTTGTGTACCCCTGCAACATATATATTTACACGGCTTTCAGGACTTTGTTATTTATTTTCCGACAACAGGGTTACTCTCTTCTCCTAGAATTGATCTGTTTGTCACTGGAAGATCACCATCATATCGCTCTCACACACACACACACACACACTTTCATAAATACACAGTCCTTAACACACGTACAGGGCGAGTGCTACCAGAAATTGGCTATGCTAACATCGGAGACGCGGCAAAGAGTTACAAGATATAAAGTGGGGTTTGTCCTGAATAGAAGTTTGGTGGTTTTTGTGGAGTTAGTCTGACCGTGGGCGCCAAAAAGAACAACAACATTGGTCATGTTTGAAATACACACACACACACACATGCACGCCTGTGCCACAGTCATTGATAATTTAAATTAATAATTGATGTCGGCTGGCGGGAAGGCCAAGACGAGGAGGCTGATGGGATATGGCACGTAGCCAGTGCAGAACTGAATAGAAACGGATTGCGAAAAACGGCGGATTTTGGAGAGAATCGGCACCTCTGTTGTTGTCTCTAGGGACGCTGGGCGTGCTTTTATTTGATTAGCCGGTTTTGTCGCAACAGATCTGTTTTGTATGGGGAGGGGGGATTTTTAACATTTCCGACATTTGTATTTTTAGAGTGGCTGTCTGAGGTCAGACATTGGCGGCTATGACTCCCCCCTCACCCCCAATCCCTTCGTGTCCCTTACATTGAAAGACAGTCGATGTTTACTTATACTGTTGTCATTTCCGTTCTTGTTTTGTTGTTGTTCACCAGAAAAAGTCCAATGTTATAACGGTGTTTCGATGCGAAATGAGCACCGACTAGCTCTTACTCTCTTTAATATTGTACTTTCCCGACAACTCACGGAGATGGAGTGAACAAAAAAAGTACCATAATTTCCCCAGTGATTTATTTCAACTTATAACGATAAATAGTCTTAATGATGGAAGGCAGAAACGAAACTGTGGGAATTTCCCGAAAAGGAAATGTGGAGCGTCGGAGTAGTAAAACTATCCTCTTGTATTATTGTTATTATGATACAGAATGCTGGCAACAGTCAATTCTGTAGATGCTTTCGTCTTTTATTTTCGACGAATGTCCTAACATTTGGTCAGTAGTCACACTGTAGTGCATGGAAGGACTCCATTGAATGACAAACGTCTGTCGACTGTACCTTTCGTGCATCGAAACACTGCCGTTGATGTGGTTATACTACACGAACCCCCCCCCCCCCCCCCCCCCGTTACTATTTCTCTAAATTTCTGTCACTGATCTTGGTGACTTTGTTCACTTTTAGTCTTCATTTTAGTTTTCTCTTGGCCCGTTTCTTAGGGATAAAGTTACGTGTACGAGCCGAATCATGTTTACAGACAAACTAGAGTAGTGTAGCGTTAACTCAACAAAGAGACGTCAAGACACTAGTTGAACCATGCAGCTTGTCAGTACCCTAGTTATGCAAAGTTCGCTCTCATTTTCTATCATATATTAATAAAGAAACAGACAATGAATTGATTGGCACTTATATAAAGTTAGATAGAGCACACTAGACGACTTAAAAATCGAAAGCTATAGTTACTGTGCCAGGAATCGAACCTGTCACCCACAGACGGCGTGTGCGCCTCGCTATGGCAACAAGTGTACTAAGAACATGGCCTTATAATTTTCTTTCAGAGCCTACATTTCTAAGACCTGAACCTGCTGCTTACAGACGTTACTGTGACATTCCTTTCTCTGTGTGTTCGTCTCCAGTCACTGTGTTTCTATTTCTGCCTGCCTTTTCCTCTGTGCCTGAACGTCAGTCCTTCGTTTCCTCTGTCTGCCATCGGTTCGTCCATCTGCCGGTCTGTATTTCTCGTGGTGAGTTTATGTGTTTGTACATCTATTCGTTAGTCTGCCCATCGGATACGAATTGTTGTCTACCAGTCAGCCAGTTTCTCTGTCTATATACCTGACATGTCAGCGGCATCCGGTGACAAGACATGCCAGCGGCATCCAGTGACGTGTCGCGTCTGCGGCATCCAGTGACCTGTCATGTCAGTGACATCCAGTGACCTGTCATGTCAGTGACATCCAGTGACCGTTCATGTCAGTGACATCCAGTGACCTGTCATGTCAGTGACATCCGGTGACCTGTCATGTCAGTGACATCCAGTGACCTGTCGTGTTAGCGACATCCGGTGACCTGTCGTGTCAGCGACATCCGGTGACCTGTCGTGTTAGCGACATCCGGTGACCTGTCGTGTCAGCGACATCCGGTGACCTGTCGTGTCAACGACATCCAGTGACCTGTCGTGTCAGCGACATCCAGTGACCTGTCATGTCAGCATACTGTGGCCATCTCCCTCCATGTCCGGTTTCTATTCCTTTCATCGTGTGTTTTCAATTGTGTATCTGCCCTTCTGTTCTCTTTACCATGTAATTCAGGCCCCTTTTTTGCCTTGTGGGTTTCAGTGAAAGAACATTCTAGTTATACATGTGTCACGTTTTGTCATCATGTATCCAGTCAGTGGCGTCACCTTTCCCCCACCTCTTGATTCCTTTGAACGGAGTTAATCATTTCAAGTGTAGGAAGAATAAATCGGCTAGAACAGATTTACTAAATATAATTTCCTTCGAAGTGCATCTGCCTGAGAGACAGGGAACCAACAGTGTGCATACAAACCAGAACTTTCCGACGAAGTTTACAGCCGGTGAACGCGAACAAGAAGGAGAACTAAATATACTGTATGAAATGGATATGACAAGAGAAGAAGAAGAACTAAATATACTGTATGAAATGGATATGACAAGAGAAGAAGAAGAACTAAATATACTGTATGAAATGGATATGACAAGAGAAGAAGAAGAACTAAATATACTGTATGAAATGGGTATGACAAGAGAAGAAGAAGAACTAAATATACTGTATGAAATGGATATGACAAGAGAAGAAGAAGAACTAAATATACTGTATGAAATGGATATGACAAGAGAAGAAGAAGAACGTTGATGAACATATTAGAGTGTGGAACATATGAACG